GCATATAAACCCTCTGACTTCATCATGTTCACTATTTTTGTGGTAAAATTTTGCATGTAAAACTACAAAAATACATGATACAACTCATGAGATCACTTAAAGAAATCACTGTACGTACTTATAAATTAAATAAACGTCATTATTTTCAAGTACATGTTTCCATATTTGAACATGAATCTCTCTAGTAGAAGGGGAAACAAAAGCAATGAGGTCAACATCTAATCCCATGTATGGATTCTCCCGGACTTTTAATTTCATTGAGGCATATATCAAAAGTTATGATTGGTAAAATACATAGAATATATATATATACCAGAAAACACCTGAAAATGAGACAGACAAATAGGACCTACGCACAGCAGTTTCACAGAATTTATGTATTCATTGCTCAACAAACGCATCGAGAGAGAAAAGCTTTATCACCTTGAAAGGCTCATTATCTGATCGATAAACAATGTCGGGGACATCATGCAACCAAAATGGGAACCCCCTGCAATTACATATGCAACAACTGTTAGATTAGCATCAAGCCAGTTCTTCCTCATGAACAGGAAATACTGAAAAAAGGATGACTGCAATGTATTCACAAAACTATTAGATTAGCATTTTTTATAAAGCCCGCGCACACAAACAATCATCATTCACATAATCTATCAAGACTTGCAAATTTCCAGTTTTTCTCACATGGTTCTTGTTTTCATTTTCTATGCAACGAAACAGAAACTTGAACAAAACCCATAATTCAAAACATTATCCAAGGCAAGATTTTAACAGAATCTCAAGAAAAGAAAAGAAAAACTGCCTCAGTCCAATATCCAAATTCAGAAAGTGGAGACAACGTGAGGAAGAATAGTATACAAAAACAAGAAAAAAGAGGAAATGCATGAGATATAATTACATGGGTTTAAAAAATCAGAAAAGCTTGGGAATGCAATTCCTCGTAAAAACATAATCTATCCAGAAAGGAAGGTCTTATAAGCTACTCATATTGGGGCAGAGAGTGAGAGTTGAGCGCCCGCATGGAAGGCCAGGAGGGATGAAGTTAGAGGGAGATTTTAATTCAATTTTGTCTCTGCCACCCCTTAATTAAAAATAATATTAAAATAATATTTTTTATTTTTAATACCACCCCATTAGAATCATAAAAAAATACATAAGAAACACTTATTTAATTATTTTTTAATAAAAAAACATTTTAAAAAACATAGCGAATACTCCCTTAATTTGGTCACGTGGTATATGTGTGTGTGTGTGTGTGTATAATATCGTAAAAGTGTAAATAGATTATCAATTAATGGTAAAAGAGTAAAAAAGTACCCATAAGTCCATTCACTCTCGATGAAAGGTCCAATCCTGAGGCAGACGTAGAGACCTTGTGCTTGGATTTCCTTTATGAACCTCACCAAGTCATTTCTTCCACTGAAATCATACTGCGTGACACAACATTTTGTATATTCAGAGGGAGAAAACATTATTATACAAATATATTCAAATATCATAATCTTAATACATTACATATAATATATGATATGGTGAATTTAATTACTGACCTCTCCAGGTTTTGGCTCATGCAGATTCCAAAACACGTAAGTTTGAATCACATCGACCCCTCCTTCTCTTGCTTTAGCTACCAAAGATGGCCACATCTGCAAGGATTTTAACAGGGGAAATCAACATCTTATACGTCAACTGGGCACCGCACGCTTTTTCTTGCTCAAGAACATCATTCGACTTGTAAATAGTCGCATTTATTTATCAAGCAATAATGGGTATTAATTAGCTAAATAAAACAAGTGAAAACCACTAGCTAGTGGGCGGTTTGGTCAGCAGAAGGGTGAATGCGCCGCACGCACGCTGTTATTGAACATCTACATATAGCTACAAGGAAATATTTGCTGGCATTAATTTTCTATGCCCGTGATGTAACAGATACTATCAGTAATAGTGAAGCGGTGCTCCTCCTACTCCATGATGCACTCCTTTACAGAGAAAAGACAAGTTGCGTGTTTTTTGTGTTGAAAAGAGAGAGGAATTCATGCATATAATGTTCATTCATTCTGCAACTAATATTCAACAGGTCGGTGATGAGACCTCACCTAACTTGTGAATGAGAATCTCATGATCCTACCTGGAAGGGGGAAGCTAATTACTGTTATTTTCAACTTTCTTCTTTTTCTTCTTTTTCTTCTTATCGGGGTGTCCAAAAGTCCATATTTACCATGACTGGGTGACATCGTCGGGCAGGCGGCGGAGCCTTGAGCAACATATAGTTTTCTGATATATGCCTCTTTTTTTTCACTTCTAATTTCTAAGCAAGCGGTAGAACTTAAGAGTATAGGAAGATAGCTGAAGTCTGAGAGAGCAATTCCCTCTAAGAAACGCATGCATGCTTGCAAGGTGATGTACACGGAGAACTAGGTGGAATGCATGAAATGAAAGTATAGTTGAAGCAAATGCAGAGTAGCGGTTTGTAATGAAATGTGCTTGGTTTACCTCAGGAGTGCTGCGAGGATAGTGAATCGAACCCGAAAACAGGATCTTCCTTTGTCCATCAATGATAAGAGATCTTCCATCATATGTGACATCTCCTCCTCTAACACCAATATCTCTGATTACCGCCACGGTCAAGACAACCCAGCTTAACCACCACCCCATTAATCACAGCAAGCTTCCTTCTCTCCTCGAAAGTAAACACCCCTCCGAGGCCAGCAACTGGTTTTATATTTCTGAGAGCTAATTGCTTGATGATGGGTTGGTGAATTGGGCTCATATCCTGCAAGAGGGCTAGTGTGCTGTCCCTGCCTATATATAATTCTTGAAAATATTAAATGTGACACAACAATAAGAGCATGGACAATGGAGGCGTCTTACTTTAAGCTTGGGCTACAAATGTAGGGCATAATGGTAATTGAAAACTTTCCAGAAAAGATGCGAACGATTTGGTTTGAGTTTGAATGTTCATTTGAATGCTGCTGTAGAAGAGAAAAGCCATTGCTGCCTTTAACGTCACGGTGGCGTGATTGCGGGTTTAAGATTCCTGAAGCGTGGAAACGAAGAGCAGAGGGGACAGGATGTGGTTTAAAATCATTCTAGTCCCTCTATTTTCTCTGTTTGATGATATAGACCCCTTTACTTAAAGTGGCTCTAATTGGTTCCTCTACCATTATAATTCGGGGAGATCTCACACCCTTCCCTTCTCCATGCTAAATGATCAAATGAGTGAAATGTATAAGATATGATGAAAACAAATAAAAAACTTACCTTTAAATTAACTAAAATCACATACAATATATTTATGCACACAAATTCTTTGATACAAAAAACAATAACTCAACATATTAACATATATTTTTATATAGTATTTTTTCACATGGGTAAGAACGATTTCTTATAAAATTAATGATACGATAATAAAATCATTTAGATGGTGATCAAGTGGTAAGGACTTGAAACTAAGGGGTTTGCTTCCTCTATGGTCTCAGGTTCGAGTTCTTGGTTGCTTATATGATGGCCACTAGAGACTTACACGGTCGTTAACTTTAGGGCCCGTGAGATTAGTTATGGTACGTACAAGCTGGCCCGAGCATCTATGTTAATCTAAAAAAAATAATATGATAACAAAAACAGGCATTAAAGAGAATATAAAAAATAAAACAATAAAAAACTTTCAATTCCCCGATTCTAGCATAGAAAGGGTTGGATCTACATTAAATATTTCTAAAAGATGGCATGCGTATAATATAAAGGCAAAAGTACAAATCTACCCGGCTTGTCGCTTGCCTTCCTTGTCTTCCTCCGATTGTCGCTTGCTCTCCTTGTCTCTACCCGGAGGACTAAAAAGAAGATCCAAGGGAAAAACCAAAAGCGCCCCATGTGAACATGAAAGACCTGAGGGTATCATCATGGTGTCCTTTGATTTTGTTTTATTGAATAACTTTATATTTCATGAATAATTCTCATAATTAATCTTTATACAATGGGTAAATGTTTTAAAAATTATTGACAATTCTTTTGTTTGAGTGTACGGGATTTTATTATGAAAATTCCTTTTTAATTTAGCATTCTTTCTTTATTATGTGATTTTTTATAATAATTATTTTTAGGATTCAAAAATTAAAGGAAATGGCAACATTTAAATCATAAATTAACATGAAGGGTAAAATTGAAACGAGCGAGTAATAAAGTGCAGGATTATCAACCTAAAATTTTATTATTGTCAAGAATTATTTTTTTATTTTTAATATTTTTAATCCAATAAACTCAAATGAATAATATCAAATATCTCTTTACAAATATCGAAGTTAAGTTAAATAGTAAAAAGAAAAAACAGAAAAACAAGTTTTTTTAAAAATCTGCAATTAATAGAAAAAAACACTCAAGAAAAATCTTCGCTGTCATCCAAGGCCCATAATTCATGAATAAACAATTCATAAATGTATTTATTTTTATTGTATAATTAATGTATTGGTTCATGTATTAAAATATTTAAAAAATTAAAAATAAATTACTAATCAATTGAAGATTTAATAACAAAAAGTTTTTTTCATTAACTCAACTTAGTCAAACTCATGAGTTTACATACTCGTAGCTCAAATTCACAAACCATTTTGAATTTAAAATTTTTATTATCGAAGATCTATTAAAAATAATTTTTTATTTATCCCTAATTGATTTTTAAAACATACAAGTTATTTCATGTTAAAATACTCATGAAAAATGAAGAAAATCTATCATGATTTTAACCCAATGAGTGTCCATTAGATGTAATTTGATCTCACCACTTATTTTATAAGCCGATTCCAACTATTTGAAATTTAAAACCTAGGCAAGGCACGAGTAAAAGTAAATTTTTGCTGGCACGACAGAAATATTCATTGAAGGCAACCTGCATATTTGTTTCATGAATGATGAGCATTCATGAATTATGGGCAGTGCTGGCCTCCTGACAATTTAGCAAAGAGGGTCGATACAAAAGAAAGTTAAGGTTGATCCTGTCACCTGCCTCAACACCACACCAACAGTGTTCTATGTCTATATGTAAAAGTTTCTGGTTTATTTTTTTTTTTTAATTTCTCTATGCAATCTTTGTGAACTTCTCTAGTTTGATGCATTAAATTCTAGTTTGGATACTTTTTTTCTGTTAATTTCTTCGTTGCTATATATAGACAGATACATTACAACCTTACAGATATTTTTTATTCTCTCTCTAGAAAAAGCTCTTAAGGTTTATAGATTTTTTTAGCTATTGACAGAGGAGCGAAAAAGAAGCTCCTTCCTTCAAACCCAAGTAAACATAGTATCATGATTTTCCTCTTCATTTCTTTTCCTTTATCGAATAATTTCCTTTCTGTAATGGAAAAAAACATATAACAATTTTGTTTGAGGGCTTTTTTCTCTTTCTATATTCTATAGCATGGAAAAAAACATTCTAGTAATTTTGGATGCAAGAGGGAGGAGAGCTATAAGGAAGTAATTTTGGATGACGAAGAATATCATGATCTGGGTGGTTGCTATAAGGAAATAATGAGTCTTGATAATAAAAGATGCAAATTTTGATCTGGGTTTTTGCTGGAAGAAAAAAAGACAAGAATTGAAGTTGAAATTAGAAGGGATTTTTTCTTTTTGATTAGTGGATCCAATGGAGTCACCAAATGGGCAACCTAGTCCAATGCCCAGGAAAAAGATGACCAAACAGTTAACTGGAAAAAAAGACGATACGCCATTACATTCTGCAGCTAGAGCAGGAAATTTAGGTGCTGTAATGGAGATCCTAACTGGTACCGGAGAAGAAGAGTTGAAGGAATTGTTAGAGAAGCAAAACCAATCAGGAGAAACTGCCCTTTATGTTGCTGCAGAATACGGTTATGTTGATGTGGTTAGAGAGATGATAAAGTACTATGATCTTGCTGATGCTGGTATCAAAGCAAGAAATGGATTTGATGCATTCCACGTTGCTGCCAAGCAAGGGGATATGGGTATGGCTTAAATCTTAGAATTTTCCATCTGCTCGTTTTCTTCAGGAAAAGATGTTTGAGTTTGAGTTTGTATTTTCACAGAGATATTGAGAGTCCTAATGGAGGCCCATCCGGAATTGTCTATGACCGTTGATTTGTCAAACACCACTGCTCTGCACACGGCTGCCACAAAAGGGCATATAGAGATTGTGAATCTCTTATTAGACGCAGGGAGTAGCCTAGCAACCATTGCTAAAAGCAATGGAAAAACTGCCTTGCATTCTGCAGCTAGAAATGGACATGTAGAGGTTGTGAGAGCACTCCTAACAATGGAGCCTGGGATGGCAACAAGGACAGATAAAAAGGGGCAGACGGCATTTCACATGGCAGCGAAGGGACAAAATATTGAGATAGTGGAGGAGCTGATTGTTGCACAACCTTCATCTATAAACATGGTTGATACCAAGGGCAACACGGCCTTACATATAGCAACCAGGAAAGGCAGAATTCAGGTAAATTTCTCCTTCCTTCCTACCTTTCTAAAGTATCATCTGAGATATGGCATAGCAGTTAAGTTTTTCCATTAGCAGCTCATTCGCCTAATTAATATTTGATCAAATCCTCTCAATATTTTGAAGTGAACTGCCTTGTTAGTCGAGGAGAAAGTTACTTGATGATGCATCTTATTCGAGTTACTACTTCTTTCATTGGTTTTCAAGTAGCACTACAGGTGATTCTTGCATAAAATCCTGAAATGTCTAAACAACTCGGTTGTATTTGACTCAACTTGCGGGAAATACAATGCTTGTAAAGGTGATTTAGTTGAATTTTTGGACTTTTAATAACATCAATTGGCATACCCTATTGGATAAATCACAAGACATGAGACTTCGCTTTTGCAACAAAATGCTTCAGGACTTGAAACTGTAATCGTCCCTCTGACGACGAGAGGGGAAATTCGACATAATAATAATAATAATGCTGTATTTCTTGTGCAGATTGTTAGGTTGCTACTTGGACATAGTGGAACCGACTTGAAGGCTGTGAATAGGACAAATGAAACAGCACTTGACACTGCTGAGAAAACAGGGCATTCAGAAATTGCAGCCATCTTGCAAGAACATGGGGTTCAAAGTGCCAAAACAACGCAGCCGCAAGAAAAAAATCCAGCACGAGAGTTGAAACAGACAGTAAGCGACATAAAACACGAAGTCTACTACCAACTAGAACACACACGTCAAACTAGAAAGCGTGTGCAAGGCATTGCTAAACGTCTTAACAAAATGCATGCTGAAGGTCTTAACAATGCCATCAACTCCACAACTGTTGTTGCTGTTCTCATTGCCACAGTTGCCTTTGCAGCCATATTCACCGTTCCCGGAGAATACGTAGAAAACCCTGAAGAAATCCCTCCTGGACAGTCTCTAGGGGAAGCCAATATCGCACCGCAAGCTCCCTTTATCATCTTCTTTATCTTTGATTCCATCGCCCTCTTCATTTCCCTAGCTGTTGTGGTGGTGCAAACATCAGTTGTAGTCATTGAGAGCAAGGCAAAGAAGCAAATGATGGCGATCATAAACAAATTGATGTGGATAGCCTGCGCACTTATATCAGTTGCCTTCTTAGCGCTATCTTTTATTGTTGTTGGCGAGCGAGAGAAATGGCTGGCAATTGGCGTGACAATCATAGGAGCAACTATAATGGTGACAACGCTGGGAACAATGTGTTACTGGGTTGTAAAACATCGGATTGAGGCCTCAAATATGAGGAGTATACGAAGATCATCACTTGGGAGCAGGTCACGCTCGTTTTCAGTTTCTGTAGTGTCCGATGCTGAGATCCTCAACAATGACTATAAGAAAATGTATGCTATTTAAATTTCTCAACACATTTTATAGTTTTATCCTTCTATAAATCGATCTTTTCAACGTCTCTCTCATTAACATATTACTTACTGCAGATTCTTCTAATTCCCACTGACATGCTAGATTCATTATAATCATGAGTAATGTAATAAATATTTAGTTTTTTAATATTTGATGTCATGGGAGCACAATTTTATATATAATTATTTTCTTTAGAATGTCTGAAAAATGAAAAATTAATTAATCAATTAATCAAAGGATCAGATAAAAAAAAATTAGAAAGTTGGAAAAAAGTGTAGAATGGAATAAGAAAAGGAAATAGAGGAGCCTGAGGCCATTTCTTCTTCTTCTTCTTAGTAGAACTTTCAAAATCCAAATTATTTCAAAAATATATGCAAGCCAGATGAAAGCATTTAATTGATATTTTAGTTAAGATATTAGCCAAACTGTCAAAAAAAATTAACATAAATTCAAATCGTCTTCTAGACATGAAATACATCATATTAACAATCAAAATCCACTTGTTTTAAAGTATACAAATCAATTAATTCATAATTCTTTCATCCAGATTTGATTTCTTTCAAAACATTAGATTTTGAGTACCCTGACCATATGAAATATAATAACGAGCTGCCACCATCATCAAGGATATACACATATATAAAACTACTTTGATCATTTTTCAATTTGAATCGAGTTTTATTAGTTTTAAATTATTTTTTTTAATAAAATCATGTTGTATCACTTTTAGGATATTAATCAAGCTAACCCACAATCCAAATCTTCGATTAGATCGGATAATGGCTCCAACCTGACATTTTAATAATTTCAGACACATTGATCAGTAAAGGGAAATAATAATAAATGGAGAGATAGATAGCTTTTTCTGGATTCTTTAATTATCGAAGTATTTAGCAGTTGAGATTTGCTCTCTAATGCCATGTTCAATGTATCAATCAAAATCAAAAACATTAACTTTATGTCAAATAACATGCTTAAACAACCATTTCAATCTGATTAGATGCCACAAATTTCTTTCTATTTACAACAATCGGTCCAAACTGAACTAATCATTATATTGAACTTTTGAGCATGTAATTTGACATCACAAATGTGATTTGACATCAAATCAATAACTCAATGTGTTGACCAAGAGCCCGAGCCAATGGATAATTTCCTTTGCTCTTAAGGATCCAGAGCTCATGCTCCCCACTCCCTTTTTCTTTCAAGGCAAAGGCACTACCTAAGGGTGAAAAAAAAAGGGAAGAAAAAAGGAGCATCTTCGTAGGAGTTGGAGTCCACCAGCTATTAAAGTAGTAATGACTGTTCGTTTTCTTGTCTTTTTTCCTGTTCTTTACGGAAAAACCACTGCCATTTGCACACACCCAGGAATTCGGACAGCATGTGCAGCAACTAACGTGGCCATGTTCTCCAGCAGATCTGCAGAATCATTCCATGGATGTCAAACAATTCCTCTGCAACTTCAAGGTCACTTTTATATCCAACTGCCCACTTTCTACATTACATTTCCCTCAAAAGAAACTATACTTGGTCGTGTTTTCTCACATGATGGATTGATTGGCAATGATGAATGGATGAGGCGATTTTTAAACATCTTTTGAACTGATCTTGTCCTTGATTACAACTCCAATGCACCTCCAAACATTCTTCTCTTGTGGTGTGAGTAGCTGTATTTCTTAACATATGTGCATCTATCCTCTCTCTTAGAAGGTAATGTGAAGAGAAGGAATTGGGAAAGAATCTCCCACCATCATAAAAGAAGATAGTTGACATGTATTCTGGTGTTCATGCTGTTGAGTTTTTGGTTTCACATTTCTTATGTGAATTAAAGTTCAATGTGTGTTATTGCAGAAGCAGATGATTTTTCAGGCTGGATTTAATACCAGAGCATTTATGTGTCAAAGAACCAGGGATAATGACAGAGGTATGCTATAAGAACCCCATTTCTGGTTCCAATTATGGGCAGGGGCTAAGGTTTTGTTTGATTTTGTGTGAGGTGTAGGGACCGACAACATATCAGTAAAGCTGTTAGGTCAATCACCCTGGCCAAGCCAGGAGAGCGTGAAGTGGTAAAAGAAATGCTACTGGAGAATCAAAGTCAAGTAGAAAGACAAGAGTGCTATCTGTAGAGCGAACATCTTTGTCACTGATTTAGTGATACTTTTCCAAGAGGTACGTCCGTTGCAACGGAGAATATCATAGCATGGGAAGCTTTAAATAACTAGTTAGTCTTGATAATAAAAGATGCAAAATTTGATCAGGATTTCTGCTGGAAAGAAGAAGAAAGACCTCAGTTATTGAATAGAGTTAGAAGAGATTTTTCCTTTTTGATAATTGAATCCAATGGAGTCATCTGGTGGCCTGCCCAGCTCAATGTCCCAGAAAAAGATGGCCAAACAGTTGATAAGAAAAAAAGATGATACACCATTGCTTTTTGCAGCTAGAGCAGGAAATTTAGGTGCTGTAATGGAGATCCTAACTGGTACCGGAGAAGAAGAATTGAAGGAATTGTTAGAGAAGCAAAACCAATCAGGAGAAACTGCCCTATATGTTGCCGTGGAATATGGTAATGTTGATGTTGTTAGAGAGATGATAAAGTATTATGATCTTGCTGGTGCTGGTATCAAAGCAAGAAATGGATTTGATGCATTTCACGTCGCTGCAAAACGAGGGGATTTAGGTAAGATATAATCTTAGGGTTTTCCGTTTGCTAATTACCTTTTAGGAACAATGCTTGAGTTTTGTTTTGTATTGCTGTAGAGATACTGAGAGTCCTAATGGAGGTCCATCCAGAATTGTCTATGACAGTTGATTTAACAAACACTACAGCTTTGCATACGGCTGCAACACGAGGGCATATAGAGATTGTGAATTTTTTGTTGGATTCAGGCAGCAGCCTAGCAACCATTGCTAAAAGCAACGGAAAAACTGCCTTGCATTCTGCAGCTAGAAATGGACACTTGGAGGTTGTGAGAGCACTTTTGACAATAGAGCGTGGGATAGCGACAAGGAAAGATAAGAAGGGGCAGACGGCACTTCACATGGCAGTGAAGGGGCAGAACGTTGTAGTGGTGGAGGAGCTCATTCATGCAGAGCCTTCATCCATAAACATAGTTGATACTAAGGGCAACTCAGCCTTACATATAGCAACCAGGAAAGGAAGAGCTCAGGTAAATTTCTCCTCTCTAACCTCTTAACATATCAACAAGGAATAAAATCTTGTGATTATTTTGTGGATGATTCAAAAAAATTTCAAGTGTGGGTCTTGTTCCTGTTAAGCTGAATGTACTATAGGAGTTGCGTGTCACAGCTTTCAATTTAGTCGAATCATCTTTTCATTTTGCTTGCAGTTCTATAACAAAGCATATTTGTTGACAACACATGATTACTGAGTGAAAACTCCGAATTCAAGGCAAACTTCGTTGTTTCAAAATCCATCTGTGGTATTCAAAAGATGGGGCTTGCAACTTAAGTTTCTCCATAAGCAGCTCGCATGCCTAATTTTATTTTGAAGAATCTTCTTAACTGTTTTGTTAAGATTTTCATTGCCAAGGAAAAAAAATCCCTCAATGTGCACCTTATTTGACCTGCTGCTTCCTTTATTGGTTTGAAATCACTCTGCTATTTGACTTCTACACAAAATTCTGAAATATTTGTCAGTTTTGCTTTATTTGACTGAACTAGTCGGAACTATGATTGTTCAAGGTGATCTAGTTGAATTTTAGACCCTCAGTCGAATAACAGATTGGGCATATAATGTAAGTAAATTGGACATATTCCAGTCCAAGACTCTTACTGAAACCAAACGCTTTGGGGCTTGAAAATTGTAATCTTCATCATATGAAATTTTGGATCAATTGTACAACCAATTTTCTAGGTTGTACTTCTACATGATAATGAATTTAGAATGTGCAATCATTCCGTTGATGATGATAGGAGTAAGCTGACATAATATTGTTCTGTTTGTGCAGATTGTTACGCTGCTACTTCAGCATGGTGAAACTGACATGATGGTTGTTAATAGGACTGGTGAAACTGCTCTTGACACTGCAGAGAAAACTGGCCATCCCGAAATTCGAGTCATTTTGCAGGAGCATGGCTGTCAGAGTGCCAAAATTATTAAGCTACAAGAAAAAAACCCAGCGCGAGGGTTGAAACAAACAGTAAGTGACATAAAACATGAAGTCCACTACCAGCTAGAACACACACGTCAAACTACAAAGCATGTGCAAGGTATCGCTAAATATGTCAACAAAATGCACGCAGAAGGGCTTAACAATGCCATCAACTCGACAACTGTAGTTGGTGTTCTCATTGCGACAGTTACCTTTGCAGCCATCTTCACTGTCCCTGGCCAATACGTGGACGACCCTTCAGAAATTCCACCTGGACAGTCTCTTGGAGAAGCAAACATCGCCAATAGAGCTCCATTCATCATATTCTTTATCTTTGATTCTATTGCGCTCTTCATTTCTTTGGCAGTTGTGGTGGTGCAGACATCAGTTGTAGTCATAGAGAACAAGGCAAAGAAGCAATTGATGGCAATTATAAACAAATTGATGTGGATAGCTTGTGCGCTTGTTTCGGTTGCGTTTTTGGCACTGTCATATATTGTCGTGGGCGAGCATGAGAAATGGTTGGCTATCGGAGTGACAATTATAGGAGCAACTATAATGGTTACAACTTTGGGGACAATGTGTTACTGGGTTGTAAAACATCGGATTGAGTCCTCAAATATGAGGAGTATACGAAGATCATCTCTGGGTAGCAGGTCACGCTCGTTTTCAGTTTCTGTGATGTCGGACGCCGAGATTTTTGACAAAGAATGTAAGAAAATGTATGCTATTTAAATTTCCTACAATGGGATCACTTTTTTCTTTTATAAGTCGAGTTTTGAATGTAAATCTCCCACCAATGGATCGTAGTTTATTCTTCTTCTATAAATTCTTGTAATTACTACTGTAAGACCATATCACAGACGTTCCTAAAAGAGAACTGAATACAAGAACATAGCAGCGTACTGTCCCAAGGGTAATTTCTTAACCCTATCTCATGAACAAGGATAAGATGGATTCAGGAAAGAAATGCGTACGCAAGGGTTATTATTTGGCCTTCAATTGTTGCCTGAGCAGATAGTTTGGCGTTTTACGAATGACAATTCAAGGTGTTATTCAAGTGATGTTGGCATTTGTAACTTCAAATCAGGAGCTTGTCAGCATGGATTCTTTACATTAGGGGGCCATGCCACAGCAGGAAACAAGATGATCGATCATTGATTAAGGATCGACAGGCCTGGAGAACTTTTTTGCATGGAAGAATTTGGACAGCTATACCTTTTGCATGTGGCAGAAAAGGGTTTGGACATGGGGACATCATCACCAGATCCGAAATGCCATTACCTCATTAAGTGAACAAGGCATGGAATTCAAAATCTAGAAAAGAAAGAATTGAGGGGTATAGGAGGTGAAAGCACTTGAGAGGAATGAAGCAATTGTAACTTCATCAGGTTTTTGCAAGGAAGGAGTGTTAGGAGTCTTTCCTTGACTGTGTCGTTACCTTGCCATTAGTTGTGCTATATAAGCTTTAATGGTTAAACGGTGTGCACTGAATGTTAAAGAAATTCTATCCTGTGTGTCTATTCCTCTCCGTTTCTTATCTGCTTTTCTCTTATAATATTCTCGTTCTTGAATAATTCTTCTTTCTTCCTTAATTCCCAAACTGTGTTGTAATAAAGAGGTTGGAGCCTCATTTGATCAAGGGGGCATACAGATTTGGGAGGCAAAACTCAAAAAAGAAAGAAGCGATTAGAACAGACTCCAGGAGTAGTGTGTGTGTGTGTGTGTGTATTGGCCAGATTCCATCCATGAAGTCGCACGCCAAGTCTTTAGGAGCCACACTTCTTGTTGAACAACACAGCAAGCTTGTGGATGGCTAAAAATGGAAATGTTGCGTCTTAAATTAACACTGAAAAAAGAAAAGAGCGTGTTTTCGTGTTCTTGCTTTTGATCTAGAGTATTGAACGAAATGTTTTGGATATTTTTGCCGAGTTTCAGTTGATTTTGTTAGGGGAGGTGTTCCTGTGCTTGAAATGTTGATAACATACAACCTCCTCTTGTGAATATTAGAAAGGTAACGAAAGTTTAAGTTTTTAGGTTGTGATAGTTTTTTGATATAATATTAGAGTTTTAATGACCAAATAATCATAAATTTAAATTTTATCATCTTTATTTATTTGATAAAAAATTAAGAATAAGATAATATGGGTCTATGCAAGTTTCAAGCCCAAAAAGCTTTTACTTGAGCAGGTATATTAGAGAATAATATAAATTATATTCTGAAATTTTATTTAAAAACTTAAATTTTTGAGTTGAGATGGTTATTTGACAATAACAATAGCCATGAAATAGTGTCCATTGTAATACAGAGAGGATCTCCATCGGATTCCTCAAAGATAACTAGAAGGTTTCCTAAAGGTTTAAGGAATGCTCAAGCAACATGGTGCCTAAGAGAGAAATGAAAGTTGAGAATATGTTGTTAAATTTTTAGGACTTGTGTGTGCATGAGTACAAGGTTTATTGTTACTATTTATTATGTGAAGATCCGAATCTCATGTTCAAATGATATTGTAAAAATATTATACCTATATTAAATCTCATAATATACATATTTATAAAGATCTCATAGTTTTTCAATGATTTTCAAGTATTATATTTTTCAAAACCAATAAAATTAAATAACACTTCAAAAATTCTAATTATTAAAACAAATAATCCATAATATTTATTATATTATCAAAATCCATATTTAATTAAAACAATGTAATAATGAAGTGTTAAAGATATCAAATTAAAACTAAAAAGAAAGCTTTGTAGAATAAACAATGCATACTAAAAAAAATGAAGCATGAACACTTAACAAGGTTCACTTGCTAATATTAAAAACAAAGAGATAAGTTCAACTAACTCAATAAAAAAATAACATTTAATATATATTTTAGATATTTATAAGTATAAGCCATCAATTGTGATAATATAGAACTAAAATGACTGAAACAAAAGTAAAAATATTTATATTAAATATATTAATATAAAATAATGAAATATATGTTAAAGATCAAATTACAAGTGAAAATGATCATTATGGAAATATCAGTCGTCACAAGATAGTGTTTCTCTCACCAATAATGTATATAAAATACTATGTACGTATAAAATAATTACTCTTTGTTAGTACGAAGTTACTAACAAATATACCGATATCGAGACATAATAAATACTCATATAATTATCAAATGTATATTATATCAAATATAATTTAGTTTAATAGAATGAGAATGTAAATTCAAGAAAATGACCAAAATGATCGAACCTAACAAACAAAAAAAAACTCTATTGTTAAGTCAATTGATAAACTAAAATGACCAAACAAACTGGTTAATTGGGATTCCTAGAATCCCGATCCACCACTCTTTAAATTTATCGATCCCAAAACAAACAACGTATTCTTCTAAAGCTTATAATTCTAGCTATCAAATCAGTTTGTTTAAAGCCAATTATTACTCTAATGCTTTAATTAAAACTTCTTGATTATTCAATCATCCAAATTAAAATAAAACTCTAATTTCTTCTTTAATCCTTCAATAATCAAATTCCTAATAATATAAGACATAATCACTTAGTTACTTCTTCAACATTTCTTGAACCCAAACTAAAGCTAAAAAGAGAGAGATAAAGCACATTTTTTTGCAACCTTTTTTCTTATATATCTAAGTTAGTTTTATGAGATTTAGGTTGATTTAGGTTTGCATTTAAGTTAAGAGTTCGAGCCTTACATATCATCTTAATATTGAATCATCTACACATCCCCTGTATTTTCTACTTTGTATTACACTCTATTATAAAGGTTGGTTCTAGTTATATTCACCATTATCTACTGTCTCATCATGCTACTTACTTCTTAAATTGAGCATTGACAAGCATATGTATATTGGAACAATGCTACCATATACGTGTTTGGTCGACTTTTTAAGGTATATTTATCCAAACAACTAGCAATTCTTTCGAGACCAATATGTTAGCCAGCTAGCCAACATGTAATGACCAGAACATTCCCCTAAGGGTCTCTCTATGATACAACATTAGACAAGCATGTTGTCTATGAGATTTCAGAAGAAAGGTGACATGCTAATATCAAGATAAAAAAAATATATACTTGAAAATATTGAGCTTTTTAGTATATATATATGGGTTGAAGGCGTTAAACTATTTCTATATTTTCGAAAAGTTTCGATTACCTTTTTCTTCTTCTAATTTTACCCTTTTTGAATTATAATTTATCGAGATGTTCCTGAGACAAGAAGACCCATGGTGGAGAATGTCTTGCACGTCATGGTGGCGTGATTAAACTCCGTCGAGCGTGTAAGAGAAGAGTAGAGCCTGTGAATAATTAATCAGTGCAGGTATGATAACTTAAACCTAAATTGACTTTCTTGTTCCCCTAATGTATTCTTATCATTTTTAAACCTAATTTTGATGAATGATAAAGAGGACAAGGAACTGAGAGGACTTCTTTTTCCGATCAGCTGAAGCCCAGTAGCGAAGGAAGATGACACAACACACCGCTGAGTTACGGCCTCTTTGAGGATTTTATCATGCTCGTAACATATATAAAAAAAAACATTTACTCCAAAGTATTATTAGTTTTAGTTTGATTTTTAATTATAAAAATAATAAAATTAAAATTTTATAAAATATAAAAAATAAAATAAAAATTGATTTAAACCGACCGATTTTATTTTAATATTTTATTTTTAACTAAACCGGTTTGTTTCGATTATAATTTTTCAGTTTAAATTTATTAAATCAAAATTAAACTGAAGTGAGCTAAATATTTTTTAAATATTTAATTTATTTTTTTATAATTTATTTTTTTAATTATTTTAATTTAATTAATTTTTCAGTTTTTTCTCACCCGAGAATTTTGCTGTCAAAGGATGAAGATTGTTTTATATTTAACAAAAAAGAAAGAAAGATAGTCAATCGAAGATTAAAAACACATGAAGAACAACTTGGGTTGCAAGAACTTCTCCCACTAATTAATACATTGTTGACTCTCAAGCCACCATGTCTGAGTAACATTGATTGCTCAGTAAAAGTCATTAATTTTATTACCAATCTTTTGTCTAAAAAGGTCCTTTTATGCTTATTATATATCAATTATTTTTCTTTTCAATATTTATAAATATTTTATGATATTTTAAAATAAAATAAGCATGCGAAGAGTGGTTGACTTGTTGCTGCCCATGGTCTCACTTAAAAACAATAATTTCGCAACCCTATTTAGAGCTTTTCCATGGGTCGGGTAATTTACCCAATACACCCTAGATAGAAATACCAGGAGGAGGTCACTACTTATAAAACATGTGGCCCGTTAACCATGGTTAGGATTATTCCTTCCTTTTACTTATCAGAACTATGGTTAGGGTTTTGGTTGGGTTAAGTCCATTTTATAGTTGACAGCTCATTTTTCGAACTAAAAAATACCAATAAATCAGTATTATTTTGACTGGTTTCAAAATAAACAAATAAAGATACGGCGTGCGTATATAATTCTTCAAAATAGTCTCCTTGTCCGTTTGAATCTTGACCACAGGAGCACATAGGCCAATCAATATTATTTTATAATAATTAAAATATAAACAATTTATAATAAGAAATGAAAAATGTAATAGAAAAGGATTTGACAGGGGACATTAAAAACAAGATTGAAGTCACAAAAGGGAATTAATTAAAAATAAATAAATTGTAGTTTAGGAAAGAAATAGACAGAAGTCCAAAACCTAGCCAGAACTTGGTAGTCGACGTACCAAATGAATTATGCAGGCGTATATTTAAGAATTCTTTGATTATCTTTCCGCTAGTTATAATTGAAAAAAAAAACTAGAGCCACTTGTGACATCAAATTCTGAGAGAAGCACTGATGTCATAGAGCTCACACCTTTCCGGAATACTACTTCAATGCCCAAAGCAC